GTGTACAACTGTATATACATACGTATGTATGTGTGCACATACACACATACTCACAGGCAGACACATGTACACATACACCAATCCAACATCTTCATGTAAAATTGCTGTCCCTTTTCAAAGACATCACCAACTTACATCCCATCAACGGTGTTTGCTCACATCTTGGTTAAAAATAGTTCTTATCAAGTACTTCAAATTTTGTCAACCTCATGAAAAAAGTGTCTATTATTTCAATTTGTACTTACATGTGTAATAATTTTCATATGTTTGTCAGTCATTTGTATATCGTCAACATAAATTGCCTGTTCATATCCACCACCCATTTTTTTTCTACTTAACTGCCTACCCTTTTCTTTAGATCCCCAGTAGCTCTTTATATTTAAATATAGCTATCCATTATCTGTTGATATGTGGCCAACATTTTTCTCCCGTTCTTTATTTTTAAGTTTACTGTATTGATGATGTATTTCTGTGAATAGAAGTTTTAAATTTTTTATGAGATCAAATTTGCCAGTCATTTTTTTTAAGGCTTTTGGGATTTGCGGTTTTTAAAGAAAGAAATTTTAACCCTTGTAATTTAAAAACATAATGGAATTATCTTCTCCCATCATTTTTTAAATTCTTTTGTGGGGGGGGAGGGAAGCAGGTGTATTTATTTATCTAATGGAGGTACTGGGGATTGAACCCAGGACCTCATTCATGCTAAGCATGTGCTCTACCACTGAGCTCTACCCCCTCCCCCCTCCTATTATTTTTACTGTTTCTATACACACTGTATTTTTTAACTTCTTGTATATAGTTTCTAGAAAAAAATCCATTTTTTCTGGATTTTTCTATTTGTTGCCACACAATTTACCCATTATTTTTATATAGTGTTTTAATCACTTCAATATTGACAAATAAAACCACTCCAAATTCTAATTTTAAATATACATAGTCTACATTTAGCTAGATTAGATTTACCAAAGTTAAATTTATTTTAGTGATTTTTAAAGAACCAGCTTTTAGTTTTAGGTACAGGAGTATTTTGTCAATTCTTATCTTTATTCTTATTAATTCCTTCATTCTATTTCCTTTGGCTTTATTATTTTCCTAGAATCTTAATTAATATGTTAATTTCTTCTTTTCAGTTTTTCTTATTTTTAAACAGATATGAATATGTATTTGATTTATATGATGTACTTAAAATTTTATCTTCCTTCTGAATAGATTTGGAGCTTTTTAATAGCAAAACTCTCCCGTCAATGACACTTGTGTTTTGATATTTGCACACAGTCTGAAAGTTGCCTATTAATAGAAAATTTCAAAGTATTGAAATTTATTTTCATGATTAATATGTCTGGTCTTCTTGAGTCAAATCCTTGACTTGTCTTTGGTCAACTTCTCTCCCAGAAAATGCAATCTTCCAGTTATTACTAGCTTATTTTAAGGAGATTTTAAAGCAAATTAATAAATTTTTATTTTATTTTATTTTATTTATTTTATTTTATTTTATTTTATTTTATTTTATTTTATTTCTAGATAGGTCATCCAGATTTTAAAGGACCATGTGTGTTAGATCTGGAAAGTTGAAAGAAAGAAGTATCAACCTGTTTCCTCCAGGAATTCTGAGTCTTATCTCACAGCTACGCTACAACTTATGGTCAAATGTGAGTTAGCAGGAAGACTTGGGAACCCTATAAGTTTTCCTTCCTTTAGGAAGGAAATGGGCTCTTTTACCTTCACATTCTTCTTCTTTCCTTCCTATGCTGAGTCCACTCCACTCATGGCAGAGTTTAGAGAGTCAGCCGTCAGTGATCTCAGTCATTCTTATCCTCCTGTCCCCAAAACTAGCAAGATCCATTCTCATAAAAACAAACACCTAAATCTCAGGCCGTTTGTTAAATGTGTGAGGAGTTTTACAACAGCAGATGCTCAACTTCTAATATCACTGTGCCTGAAAAAACTGCATTTTCATTGCTATTTATCCTATTCCACTTTTGAGTTAAAAAAAATTTTTTTTGCCTAATGACCTTATTTTATGCAGAGCATGTGATTAAAATTAAAGTGATACTACTGTTCATTCCACATACAAACTATTTTTCATCTTGGGAAAAAGACTGATTAGTCCCAGAGAACACTGCTGCTTAGTAGTTATGACTTCACCATTTTGCAGATGAAGAGAGAGAGGAGGAAATGAATAAAGACTCAAAGGAGAATATCTATGTGGACCTGCAATCAAAGCTGGATTTTTAAGGTCTGTGATTTTTCATCTCAACCTCAGACCTGTCCTCACTCTATTTAAAGTTATAATCATAATTCACTGTCAATTAACTGGGAAAGTTAACCTAAATTCATTCCAACAAAGAGAAAGAAAGGAAAGGAAAGGAAGGAGAGAGAGAAAGAAAGAAAGGAAGAAAGAAACAAAGAAACAAAGCAAGCAAGCAAGCAAGCAAGCAAGCAAGAAAGAAAGAAAGGCAAAAAGGTTATTAAGTCTGTTATTAACCACGCTGGGCTGTTAATTCCTCCACCCTGGCGGTTTGGTCTCCTGGAAGACATCATGAAACCACCCACCCTTGTGTACCATCACATGATTTATAAATCATCCACACACAAAAATGGCTGCTTCTGCCCCCAAATCTCTATGGCCCACAGAGCCTGCCTTATCACTACAAAGATTACTATACATGATGGTGTGGGGATGGGTAGGAGACTTGCAACTATTTAGGGAATCTTTAGGTTCGTAAGGAGGAGAGGAAGTTTTTTTTTCTCTCTTTTGAGAAACATCTTTGAAGATTTTACTCCAGAGGAAACCCTCAGTTATAAATAACCTGCCCACATGATTTCCCCTACCCCAACACCTTTTCTTAAATATACATATCTCAGAAATCTCTTCTCTCCATTATAATGCCTAAAATACCCCCAAATTGAATTGCATTTTAATTAACAATAATTGTCTTCAAAAATCCAAATATCTTTGAGAGTATTATAGATCTGTCCATTCACCAATACCCCAGCAACTTTTGTTGGAGAAATTAGCTGTTGAATTTGTGAGGACTGCAGAGCAGGCCTGGACTGACGTGCAAAAGGTAGACTAGTGGTCCTCAGACTTTAGAATATGTGCCATCAAATTCTAGAATTGGGGAAAATGTGAAGTTTGGGGCCCCATCTCAGAGATTCTAAATCAGTAGGTTTGAGGTAGGTACAGGAATCTGCATTCGAACAAGTATCTCCATGTGATTCTGAT